AGTTGTATCGTCTTCTCCAGACACCATTTTCATTTACCGCTCCATAGATTCGCCTCATTATTTTTCTTTCGAAACATCCTAACATGTTAGTTTGGTTAGACTTATCAACTGATTTGGTACTCCTAGGTCTATCATTGCTTTAAATAATTCTCTTCTATTTACAGAGTCGTAGGCTGCCTTGTAGTCTATAAATATGTGGTGCGTGTCTACAACGTATTCCAGTATTTTCTCTAGAATTTGTCTCAGGTTTGGAATCTGATGAATTATTGATTTGCCACCTCTGAAACCAGCCTGGTATTGTCCCATTATTCGCTCTGCATACGATGTCATACGATGGCATAGTATATTGATGGACATATTAAAGTAAACCAAAATTCTATCTACCAAATTATTGACCAATAATGAATTTTTTTCGTGTCCGGAAAACCATAGTTGCTGAGGCAATTATTGGGCTGTGTTTAATGCTACTTGGTTGCCTGTCTATAATTCATCGAGAGTGCATCTATACGAGTAGTTTGAGTAGACTCTTAGACAAGGAAAGAGAGGGAACGCGTAATACATATGGAATTGACTCAAGCCTAAGTTGGCACCACCCGGCACTAAAAAAGTTGCCAGGTCATATTTTATTTCTTCAATAAATTAGGAATTATGGATATATATATATATATATATATATATATATATATATATATATATATATATATATATACATAAATAATGAATATATAATATATATATATATATATATATATATTTATATATATATATATATATATATATATATATATATATATATATATATATTTATATATATATATATATATATATATATATATATATATATATATATTTATATATATATATATATATATATATTTATTTATATATATATATATATATATATATATATATATATATATACACTATTACTATTACACTAGCTAGCTTTACTTGACGAAAACTTTATAAATAGAATCATTTTTCGTAGAACAGATTTCGAGTACCCAGCTTACTCATCTGCATTTCTTTCAGGCATCATAAAGGAATTTAGTAAGAGGCAGTATTTAAAGACCACACTTAAGACAGCAGCACTAGCAAATGAAAAGAAATAAGCTTTTCTAACATACAAAGCAGTGAAGACTCCAGAGGCACGAGAAGACTACGTGAGAATCAGGAAAAAGTAAACGAAGAAATAGATAACATCAAAAAAGAACACTGGAAGAAATTTACCAAAGATATGGAATACGACCTCTATGGATCAGAGAAAAAAGTGTGGAACATAATAAGGAGACAAAAAACAGAAATGAATGAATTTGTACGCATAGATAACATTACGGAGGAACAATGGACTGAGCATTTCACGAAATTAATATGGAGAAGGAGAAGAAGAGAACAGAGAAATAATCATTAACGAAACCCACGATAGGGTACTAATATCAGAAGAAGAGCTACAAGAATGAATAAAAAAATTAAAAAACAGAAAAGCACCCGGTCCTGAAAAGATAAACAATGAACTGCTAAAATATGGAGGAACAACACTACGCAAATGGCTCCTAAAATTATTCGGCGATTTAATAAATACCGGAGTAGTACCAGCGGAATGGAAGGAAAGTCTCCTGCTACCGATGCTTAAAAAGGGAGAATCAAGAAATCCTGAAAATTGAGACATTAGTCTGATGAATAGTATTTTAAAATTGTTAAAAGCAGTCATAAAAGATAAAATCGAGGAAAAAGCGAACATGGCTAATGAACAACAAGGCTTCCGGATGAACCGCAGCACAATAGACGCAATTTTTATTATCAAACAAATAATAGAGAAGTCTATCGAATATCGAAAACCAGCATACATGTGCTTTGTAGATTTAAAAAGTGTTTTTGACAGGGTGAAGTGAAATGACATCTTAAATTTATTACAAGCTGAACAAATAGACCATCAGATAATAAGCACAATTAACGAAATTAACAAATACAACAAGACCAGAGTTATAATGCCAACAGGAGAAATAGAATTTATAGAAATAAAAGGAGAAATCCGCCAAGGAAACCAGCTCAGCCAATTGTTATTCAATATGTTAATGAATCAACTATGATACTATGCTATGTCAATGATGCAGTACTAATTGCTGATAACGAAGATGACCTACAAAGGCAGCTCCACACCTTTAATATCACAGCAAACAAACTAAATATGAGAATATCAGTAGAAAAAACTAAATGTATAGTGATCAGTAAAGTGCCGCATAGATGCAAACTAGAAAAATACAGCAAAATTGTAGAACAAGTAATGAAATTCAATTACCTAGGAGTAGAGATTACTAGTGACAGTGATATAAGAACAGAGACCACAAGGCAAGCATCAAAAGCGGCAAGAGTAAGTGGTTGCCTCCGAGAAACCATATGAAATATGGCCACGGAAACCAAATAAATATCTGACCACGGAAACCAAAATGAAAGTATACAAGACTGCTATCATATGCAGCGGAGACAAGGACCGATACAAAAAAGACGAAACAACAAATCAATAATATCGAAGTGAAAGTATTAAGATCAATAACAAGCATATCATTAAGAGACAGACAAACCAACAGAAGTATACGCGAACAATGTAAAATTCAAAATATTACCAGGTGGATAAAAGCAAGAAAAAAAAACTGGAACGAACATATAAACTGAATGGGACCAGATAGATTAGCGAACATCTGTAAAAACAACAAACCGTATAGCAGAAGACCCGTTGGACCCAAAAAAGGTGGAAAGATAATATACAGTCAACAGCGACTGAAACAGACTAAGAGGCAGACAAACAGGAGTAATTCTAGTCGTACGAAGAAGAAGAAGAAGACAAAATAAAAGCGAAATATACAAAGAGGTTAATTCGAAAAAATTTAATTTTTATCTTTCAAACCCTAACTATCATGATACAATTAAATATTTTGAGTACTTCTCTATTTAAGTAATCTTCATAGATATTTTGTAATATATTATTTAATCAACGAAATTTAAAATAAAACGCAAAACTTAGAAACATAGCTTTATGTAAACACAAGTCACTACAAACGCGGGAAAAAAACGAAATGTATGACAAAAATTTATTTCTGTTCTTCATATATCTAGCTTTTATTATTTTCTCCTCATTTTGTTTACGTTCGTGTTGTTTTTGTAGTAAGGTAAGCTTCTATAGAACGATCTAGCCCTTTCAGATGTGCCAAACTGTCTTAAGTGGACAAGATTGATGAATTTTTCCTTAAAAATTTTCCTTAGTTCTAAAAAACATCTATATGAAAAAATAAAAAAAAAGAATGGAATTTTTAAAACAAACTCACCTGTATATAATTTTGGTGACAAAATAAACTGCCTCTCGGATAGTTGCACCTTATCGGAATTTGTAAATGTTTTGCGTATAATTGACGTCTACCATTGTCCATTACAGGAATCGCGGTGTTTGAAAATACGCGGATGATCTTTTAATATTTTGAGTTCTATGATTGGTCTTGATTTGTATGTTGGTTTAGTTAGGTAAATTTGGTCTAAGAATAGTAACCAGTCTGTTATATGTATTTGATCGACCTCTACGACATCGAACGGATTTGGTTTTACTCAACATGATCTAAAATCTCAGGAAGTTCAGCCATAATTTTTTGGTATATCACACCCATATCTAGATCGCACTCCATGTAAGAATGACCTCGTATTGGGAAAGTTACTTTGATTGAGTTTAACCTTTTTGCAGTATTAACTACATAGTAAAGATAACGTAGAACAGCAAAGTTTATATTTTGGCCGCCACATGAATCACAGACTATGTTGACGTGACGAACTGACAAATCAAGCTGAACAAAGATAAAACGGTGCAGACATGACACTACTTCGTTTGAACCTTTGCCTCTATAGTTTTTGGAAATCAATAAAATGTAGCATTTCCTGTTAACAATACATGAATTTTAGAGGAGTGAAGCGTCAGTTGTCTCTTATAGTAGACATCGTTGGTGGAAATATTTGGAGTGGATAATTTTTTTTTTTCAAAATCCATAGCGACTGCTTCACAGTTAACATTCTGCATTGCTGCTTTTCATGCCTTTCTCTTTATTTCATAAACTGCTTCCGCTTTGAATTTGTGTAGGCTATTTGCCAAAGTTATATCTCAATATCTACCTTTTGTTTTTCAGAGGCATCATTTGTTTCATTCCGTTTATTATAAAGGACAAGGTCAGCCATGAAATGATGGCAAGCACTACACGTATTACTCGGCGGATAGCCGAAACTAATGTTAAAATGCCTATTAAAGATATTTCGATATGTTTCGTATGACACAGGAGCGCCCTTATCAGATTTGTACTTAGTATACATTTTCATAATATTTAAGTCATCCGGAAGGTACATTTCTTAGTTTTATTTTTACTATAATAGCTTTCTCTGTCTTTAAAACGCCTTATGTGTTCAATAACTTCATCTAGCTATTCTTTTGGTAATGCGTGTTTTTGGATTTTTTCTGCGGTTGTTAATTGGTGCACTACCAGTAGCTTTTAAACTTTATTGAATATTTTCAAGCCTCTTTCGACGAAGGCCATGAGGGCTTAGAAAAGCTTTAAAATAAACTGGGACGTCTTTTCCCATGTTTGAATTACTCACATAAAACTACTACTACAAACCTACATATTGCTGGTCGAAACAAAAAATAATAAAAATTGACATTTCGCCTTTTTTCTGTGTAGTGTTTATTTAAGTTTCTCTGGCAGATAAAGGAGAACTACGAAAAAATATAATAACATGTTTTCAACAAACTGCAGCATATACTCTTTATAAATAGGTTGGATAATCTGAAAAATCATTACAAAGCTTTTTTGCATCACAGTCGAGCACATTTTGAACATGTTATTCATGTAAATTTGAAAATAAATACAATTTTTACTTTCGGTAGTGTATATTTTGGCAGATACTGTATTTACTTTTTGAGAAATATTTGGATTTGTTGGGATGTAAAACAAAATAACAAAATAAAAACTGTTAAAAATAAACTTTATTGTTATAATAAATTAAAAAATAAAAGTTACGTATACAAATTAAAAAATGGTGTAAAAGTTAAAAAATAAATAAATTACTTTCCAAGGATAATTTTGCGACCAGCACCCATGTTCTGTCCGGCTTGGGAAGCTCCCTTGTTTTGACCAGCTTGGAGCCCAATCATAGTCTCACCAGCTCTAAGTTGTTCTTCAGTGAATTCTCTTTTGTTTTCGTCAGCGGGTTTGGGTCCTAGGTATGGTCCTTTCCATTCAGCGTGCTTGTAGGTCTGTCTGCCAAGAGCAAAGAGAGTATTGGTTATTTGGGCGATATCTTTTTTCTCCCAGAGGTCGACGGTCTGGAAAACGTCGATGTCGGCGACACCGTAGGCCTTGATTGCCGCTTGGAAGCTGAAATAAAATTAAACATTAGTTACAATGTACTTAAGGATTGAAATGCATAAAATAAATAAATCAGAATATAAATGGTAGAGTAAGTGTCGGATATAATCAGAACAATATATTTTTACAGCTATTTATTTTCCTTACACTGTGTTTAACATATATGCAGTGTAAAATAAAACCTGAATATGAAAATTTATTTATCAACTTAGATTCAGATAATAAATTTAAAAACAATGAGGTTAGGGTTGGAAACTAGTTAAAAAAAGTTTCAGGCAGATTACCTCGTGGGCGAATCTCTGTGCATTTACGCTGACGACGCTAACAAAATAGTTGCGAGTGCAATTGGTTTCAGAACGTAGTTTTAAACCAGTTACTCTGTGGGCGCTCGACCTAAAATGCCAGTGATGGACAGAATTTCGGCAGAATTATTAAATCATTAAGGATCCTAACTCTGGTAAAAAATTCATTATTTAATCATCATAATCTGGACTAAGGAGCAAATGTCAGAGCAATGATCAATTGACCTGATACTTTTAGTTTTAGTAGATTGTTAGAATACTCCGAGAATATAATCAGTGATTGTTAAAATGAATTTAAAACAAATAGAGTCACTACAGATAATATATTCATACCAAAAATAATTTAATGAAAAGCTTATGAACATGATATAAAATTATATAATATCTGTTTATACTTTAAACAAACTTTTGCTAGTTTAAAAAGTAACAAATTGCTGGAAGATATTCGTAACATAGGTGTACCTAGTAGCACTTAAAAAACTATACTGGGATCAAATGGCGTCGATCAAAAGAGACAATCAGACAGCCGAATTGCCAAGAAAAATAGAAGTTCGTCAGGGTTGTGTACTTTCTCCACTGTTATTTAATATAAATTCCGAAAAGATCTTTCAAAATGCACTCGAAAATATTGAAGAAGGAATAAAAATCAACAGAGAAAATGTAAACAACTTAAGATACGCAGACGACACCGTCAATATTGCGGATAGTGCTGAGAGTTTACAACGACTTTTGAATGTCATAACCAGAGAGGAAGATAGCTTGGGACTAAATGTAAACACAAATAAAGCAAAAGTAATGGCTGTTACACGTGAAGCAAATGTAGACATTAATATTCGTATCTATAACAAACATATAGAACCAGTACAAAGATTCCAGTATCTTGTTTGCTGGATAACAAACGATCTTGACCATGTGGTCGAAATACGTGCTCGTATAGAATATGTTAGGTCCGCATTTCAACGAATTAAAAAATTTCTAATAAACTCTACGTTATCGTTGGATATCCGATACCAATTTGTAAAAACGTTTATTTATTCCATATTGCTATACGAAGTGGAAACATGGACTCTCGGAATTACAAGTATGAGGCATATACAAGGCTTTGAGATGCGGGTTTTTCGAAGGATACTGAAGATCTCTTGGACAGAGCACGTGACCAACAACGAGGTGCTAAGAGGAATGGGTACTGAGAGATAACTCCTAAATATTGTAAAAAACAGACAATCCAGTTATCTAGGACATATTTACAGAGGAGAAAAACACAACTTCCTACGATTTATAATTGAAGGGAAAGTGGATGGAAAAAGAGGTCCAGGAAGAAGAAAATGCTCCTGATTGAAGAATAAAAGAGACTGGACAGGCATGGACACACATTCGATACTAACAACAACAACAGATAGAGAGCAATTTGCTGTAGTTATAGCCAACCTTCAGTAATAGAGAAGGCACCTTAAGAAGAAGAAGAAAGTATACCTAACAAATATATTAGCCACATAAAAATGCCGTTGCAGGGTAAAGCCAAAGTTCCAGTAGATAAAGAACTGAATCTCCTATTTGACATCAATATGAGTGAGTCAGTGAAATGCACTATTACTGCATATAATGTAGCTATCACTAGTAGGAGTAAGCAACGACGAATGTAAATGTTTAAGGAAACTGTTCTTAAGGCACGAAAAAGAAGGTTTAAAAGAAGCAAAATAAAAAAACAAGTACATGATCGACAAAAGAACTTGACACCTGACAATGAAAATAGTATCTCGACAGACAACTATACCATCAAAAGTGTGGTTGCCTTCATGTACATGGGCACAGAAATTAATTAAAAGAATTCTGTAAGTAGCGAAATAAATACACGTATTTCCAGTAGGAATCGTAAATATATGCTAGTAAAGGATTGCTGACATCGAAGTTATTAGATAAACGAACCAAAAAGACTATCTACAGAACATTAATTAGGTTTGTAATAACATATGGTTGTGAGTCTTGGGTAATGACAAAAAAAAGGAAGTTCCATTGAACACATTCGGGAGAAAGATACTCAGAAAAATATACAGCCCAGTGCAAGAGGAAGACGGCACTTGGAGAATTAAAATTATCGACGAGATTAATGAATTCAATAAGGAGCACGATATTGATAAAGGTAAGCTTTATCAAAAGTCAAGGGTCTGTTAGTGCTGAGACATGGCCAGATAAAGAATATACAAAATCAACAAAGAAAATATTACAAAATGAAAAGAATGATAGAAAGACGAAAAAAAAGGAAGCGTCAGAACGAGGTCCATGCTGGATAATGTAGAAGACGACCTGAAAACTAGGAATGTAAGATAATGGAGGAGAAGGCACAGGTGTGGTATCAATGGAAGGACATAGCCAGATATGCCAAGGCCCATCCAGGATTATAATTCCAAAATAAAAAGAAGAAACATTATTAGCAAAATAATTTTTTTCAATTTTTATAACTCAAAGATTAATCCAATTATACAGGTATATATCAAAAAAGGAGTGCTTCACATAACTAACAACTGACAACTTTACAAACATATCTCGGATTATTTATCAAATAATTAATATCTGTCCGTTTTAAAAATAAATTTGAAACATTCACACCTCTCAAAAATGCGAGGAATCAAGGGTATAATATTACGTTGCGCAAAGCTTTGAAAATAGTCGTGGTTAAATAAATCAACTAAAAATACAGATGAACATCACCGAAAATTTTCAATATTTTGTTAAGGCGTAGATTTAATTTTAGATTAACACGCGAACAAAATCCAGAAGAAAATTATTTGTTAAGTGCGCGTGAATGCTGCGTCCAAAATAGATTTTTCTCGAATAGTGGAAATTTAAATTTTCTGCACGATTGCTTACAATAAAAAAGGAGTTTAGTTAAACAGTATGTTATTGCTTTTTAGACAGAAATAGAAACTTGTTTATTATTTTCACTTATTGTTTATAATTCGTTTTCTATCGAAGGCATTTAACAATTTGTATGTATCTACTTGTGTTGACTTAAACTGCATTCTTTTAAAAACTGTTTGGTACAGGATACATATTTTTTGTTTTTTGCATTTCACTCTTCGTTAACCGAATTTGACTAATTTCACCACTTATTAAAATAAAAATATTGATCTTTAAAGGTATAAACTAATTCTGGTAATAATTATAGTATTTCTTCTTCTAGTATACTCTTTTTATGGTACCTATCCCTTACCATACCTAATGTTTGAACTCCACAATAGAATATTGGAGACTATACGAAAGTCTAAGAGGAAGCCCATATATTAGATGGGTATATGATGTCAAAAAATAGCTGGAACAATTAAATTAGAAATCCACAAGGAATCTACGTTAATGTAGTTGGCTGTATACCATATATTAAAAAATTTATTAAAAATCCTTTGTAAAAGGTATATATTTAGACCCAAACGGGCTAAGTTAAAAAGACAACGGGTTTTTACCCATGTATTTAGTGGCTATATTCATGTACTCTTAGACACTGATGATGGAATATGGATTCCGAAAACGTTTTGTCTTTTTAACTTAGCCCGTTTGGGTCTAAATATATACCTTTTACAAAGGATTTTTAATAAATTAATTGAATTAGATGTATGTTGCTCAGGATAGAGGTCGATGAAGAGAGTAGCTAGAGAAGGCTGAAAAGAAGGTACATCACTTCCCTTCAGTATCTATTGATAATAATAGAAAAGATCCTTAGAACAATATTTGAAATCCATAATTAACGATCAGTGTATCGTCCATATACTCATGTATGGTTTACAAACGTGGACACTTACCAAGTCTAATATGGATAAAATAGTAAAAGCCCAAAGAGCGATGGAAAGATCAATGTTCGTTGTAAGACTTACAGACAAAAAAAACAAACAAATGAATGAGAAGCGAAACCAAAGTAAAAGACGCAGGTGAAGTTCAAGCTGCCAAATTAAAATGGAGCCTCGCAGGACACAATGTCCAACTAAAGGATAAAAGATAAAACCACGATATACATCAATGGAGACCATGGCTAGGAAAGAGAAACAGAGGAAGACCACAAATGAGATAGGCTGATGACATTAAGAAGATCGGAGGATTCAACTGGAAACAAGTGGCGCAAAATAGAAAACATTTGATTGATTTGGGGGAGGCCTATGTCCCAAGTTGGATTACTTAAGGCTGAAGAAGAAGAAGAAGAAAAGATCCTTATTTTGTTAGCCATATTGTTATAAGTACTCTCAAATGCTGAAACTTATTTCTCTTCACACTCAAACAAAACAAAAGGTTTAGTTATTTTCGGGTGATCTTTTGAGAAAATTTTGTTAATTTGTTTTTTTAAGAAACCATTTGAAGCTTTGGACCTATTTACTGCTTTACTTTTATCGATCCTGATCGGTCCAATTGGAATACATATTATCAATAAGATTTAACAAATAATATTTTCTTGCGCAAATAACAATTCAGATAAATTTTGTAATTAAATATATTTTATTGATTGGCAAACAAATAAATTTTGTAATTACTTTAAGGTTTCTTTGTAGCTTAAAGGCGATAGTGAAAATTTGAATAATAAATCTTTTACACTTTTGCTGAAAGCATCGAATGAATCAGCAAATATATTTTTAGATTTTAATAATATACTTAAGTTATAGTATAGTGGACATAAATATTTACTTTAGATTTAGATCACAAGTATTTTTAGACAACAAAATTAATTCTGGAACGTAGAAGCATATCATAAAATATGATAAAAATGTCTTTGCTTGAATAATTTTCTCTAATTTCTGTAATTTGAGAAAATCATCTGATTGTATTGTTCCAACGACAAAATATGTAAGATTGCGAAGTAAAAATGTTTATAACAATTCTAGAAGGTTATCAATGTTCTGTGAAACGTAATATATAAGATTGCAACACAGAAAAAGGGAATTATGATATTGCATTGCGGGTGCATTCTATATTTTATCTACAACTAAATATTAATCTATAATGATAAACGTGTTTCGTGTCTCAGCTTTTAGGTTTAAAATTTCTAAATTGATAATTTATTTCTTATAGAATAACAAAATATATTTATTATAGAGGTTCTTATGATAGAGATTTTTAAAAATATTCTTAAAAATATCCTCTAATATATTATTTTACAATATATATGCTTGGTTTGTTTTTTCGAAATTTTGCAAAATAATGTTATATTTGGAGATATGCCATCTTTCCTTAAAAACCATAAAATAGTACAATATTTTCTGTTAAAAATAATGCATTTAAGCATACACGATGTCCAAATTATTTCGACTTAATGACTTTTTAATAAATAAATAAATAAATCTAGTTGAAATTACTTCAGATTATAAAAGTTTCTCAATGATTTAGTGGTAGAGTCATGCTAAAATTAACTCAAAAACAATAAAGAAAGTGTAAAGAAAAATATACTAAAGCGTTTTTTTAACTATGTTTATGTAATACATAAACATAGTAACAATTACATAAACATAGTAACAAGAACGTCACAATTTAAAAATTGTATGGCCTAAAATTGGCTTAAGGGAGTAAGGGATTGACTATAGCCTTTTACAGGTTAGTATACACCAAAGCCAAAATATTAGCCTGTTCACTGTTATGGGTAAAAATTTATGATATTTTGAAAATTCATCGATTTTCTAATTGATCGTTTCTGAAAATTGTCATATTATGACATATGACGGTCTTGCTCTAAGATAGTGATATATTAGTTTAGAAACTTGGGAAAATAAACAAATACTAGAAATAATAAGAGACGAGATAATTACAGAAATAAGAATGGTAGATGTGGAATTTATGGTTACTAGAAAAAGTTGATATAAGTTTAGATAGGTATTTATTTATTTATCTGATATTTTCGTATGATTTTAGTGACATAATGATTCAATATCTATTTATGATCGAATGAGATGTGATGACTTACTTGTTGATGTTTTCCATCATCTTGAATTGTCCACCAGATGTGTTGATTTTGGGGACTGATCCTGGAGCCAATTTGTTAATAAGTTGGCAGAGGACAGTTCCGTCACGGATAACGTCTTCGTAGGCTTCACCTGGAGGGAATTTGGCTCCAAGGATAGCCTCGATCCATTCTTGAGCTTCTTTGTCTTGTTGGGGGTCGCGTTTAGCGGCGAGCTAAAGGAAAGGTTATATAAATAATATTGAAAATGATATGTAATATACAAAAAAAGTAACTAAATTATTTAATTAATTTAAAAATATTGCTAATCGTTAGTTTTTTGATTTGATACAGTTAAGAACTGTATTTTTTTGGATTTCTAAACTTACTGTGTACTACAAAACACTGAGTTCAAAATCTGGCTTAAAAGTAAATAAAATTTCCTCAATTCAGAAAAATTATTTATTATTCAAGATACACCGATATTGCACCGATGACTGTGAAGTCTTTAACTTATGGGTTTGTAAAAGCAATGAACTGCAAACTTTGTTATGGTTGCAAAAACATAAGGAAATTATTTATAATAAGGCGCTGACAGTTTTTCTAAAGAAAAGGCAAATACTCTATCAAACAACTGCATAGTGGGGGATGTCAGAAAATAATAAAAATGACTTAGTGTTGCCCACTAGGAAATTATGCCAAACCAAATTGGTTTCCTTATACCAAATACCTTGTTCTTGCAGATCCATTAAAGTAAACATAGATGTGGAATATACACAAAAGATATTGCAGGTCGCACTGTGGAAGTACCAAGATCAGTGTCAGACCCAGAACAAGATTTTATGAAACCTTCATTGTAAAATAGACTAGGATAGACTGTCATACCTACTATTTAAACTTGCACTAGATCAGCAATGAAGCAATTCAAGATATCGAGAATATCCAGGTATCATTACCAGACCCAGAGATAGCTTGACTTAAGCTTTTGGGTTATTAAAGATGTATACACTAACAATTAGATTAAAAAGAAATTTCCAAACTACGAAATATGTGTGTGTCTTTAGCTTTAGTAAGAAGATATCTTGAATATGAATATAACTGAAACGTCTGCGAGAAAACTAAAAAAAAATATTTTTACTAATATGGATTACCAAGGCGTGAACACAAATGACCTTAAAGTTCATCACAAAAAATAAACTGGAAGTCTACAGAACACTACTAATGCCGGTGGTATATTATGTAGTAGAAATATTACGACCAAGGACTTTTTAAGCATTTGGATGGAATATTCTAGGGATAGTATGTCTCAAAAAGTTATTTAGAAGTTTTTGGGGTGCCTTATGTTGTAAAATTCATTATGATATGCGTTTAAAATGGATAGAGCATAAAATCTGAAGAAAAAAAGACCCAATAATCAGAAATGTTTTCGCTGCAAGAAAAAAAAACCGAAAATTTTTTCCAGAGACTGGGAAAGGATGATTATTTCGTAGTAAGGTTTTGGATTATAACAGACTGTTAGACTCTATAAAACTAAAAAAATGTTAGAAAATTGTATATTCAGATCATCTAAAAACCAATTAATAGTTTATATTAGAAGTTATTTTGATGCTTTAATTACAAAAGTTCTGCTTCCATAGAAGCATGTAAAAGTGAAAACCCTAAGCCTAAACCTGTGTTATTTATTTTAAGTTTGTATCGATGTAGAAGTCACCTAGCAGCCTAGCTAGTAGAAACAGGAGCATTAACATTACCCAGGGAAACGAAATGCTTTTAAGAAATCAGTGACTTAATTTGCGAAATTATTAAATATTAAAAAACAGTTTGGAATGTAAAATATTAAATAGTATAAAACCAGTTAAGAAAATAGTGTACACAAAAAATAGTTAAAAATATTTTTAAAAGTCTAACAATTATTCCGATTGAAACAGATTGTACACAAAAATATTATCTTCATTACTTAAAAAATTTGAGAATAGAACGGATACTTGCAGGAAAAATTGAATCGAAAAAATAAATGAAAATTAATAAATTTTTAGTATTAACTTTTATAAAATATAATAATCATAAATTATTAAAACAACTCTACAAAGTTTATTTGAATTTAAAAGACAAATTTTAAAAATAAATAAAACAATATGCACTTTATTATTATTATCCAAAAAATATTATCTATTTTTGGGACACATTGTTAATAATAAATAAATTGATAAGAAAAAACAAATGTTAATTAAAAAAAAACTTACTTTGTTACGGACTTGACGTTCTAGAGACATTTTTGTTGGATATGTGTTATTCTGAATTCACTGATGTTGAAAATTTTCCAACTTTCAAAGAACTGGATAAATATTTTAGGTGCGGGCTTTTTATATCGGCTATCCTTTTTCCACACAAGTCCCACTCAAACATGCGTCGCTCGTCACCGTTTCAAAACGCAGCGTCTCTCGGATCTCCCTATATTTAGAAAATTATTCACTTTATTGAGACTATTTTACTGGATAAGTTGTTATTAAACATCCAAGAACGCCATGACGTAGCGAGAAATCGACTGAAATTAAGAAATCCGCTATTTTTATCCAAATTCATTATTTAGAAAATATTTCAGACACGTAGGTGTCTAAAATGAGTATTTCGAAACGATCTTTAATTATTTTTTATAATATATTTAAAAATTAGGGTTTATAGTTTATATTTAAAATCGTAATATTGTATTACTTTCATAACTTAAAAAAAAGCTTTATCTGTGAATACCTTTGAGTAAATTGATTTTGAATGTCTAAGCTCTTGTAGCACTGTGTTACATTCAACTTTAAACTTTGTATAATTTTTATATGATACGTCATTAAATTGACCTTACTTTACAAAAAAATTAAAAAATACTTAAAAAAAGTAAGGACATAGAATAAGTGCACATCATAATAATGATTTAATAGCTGAACGTTTTATGTAAATAAAAATAAAGAAATAGGAGAATATAAATATGTTTATTCATGTTAAAACAATAAAGAACGTCAACAGTCTATCTCACTTGCAGAATCACTTTCTATTAGAACTACAATGGTATTAAAATGTCCTGCATCACCTTACAAAATACATGAAAATAGAAGTTTAAGGGATCTACCTTAAATATTTTTTAACCATTTACTATCTACATCAAACAAACACTTAAACACAATATTATAAAATGGAAACACAGCACAAATTTTGAATAATAAAAAAAATGTAGTTCGGAAAATTTTTATTCAATATTACAAACATTAGGTTATTTACATCAAGACGATATTGTACATCAGATTGAAGTAATTTAAACTAATTTTAATATTTAATTGGCCAGCCCTTGTTTTTAATAACTAGTTCACATCTTTTGGGCATGGAATTTATTAGCTTTTCCAGTTCCTCTACTCAATTGCGCTGGCCAGTCCATCTTATCAATTTCATTACTCTTCATCCAATCTTTGCCAATTTTGCTCTATGGCAAGGAGCATTATCGTCCTGAAAAATAAATTTTTCTTCGCCAAACAGGTCTTTTTTACAACGCAGTATCTTATTTTAAAGTATTTCAATGTATTTTGTAGCATTTATCATCCCAGAGACAACGAGTAGGCGACTAACTCCTAGAGCGGACATGCTACCCCATATCATAACGGAAGTTGGATGTTTAATTGTGGGAAGGACACATTTTGGAGAAAATTTTTCGCCAGGAAATCTTCTCACCATTTCTAGCATGATTATTAATATTTAAAGTGGATTCATCGCTAAACAGTAAACTCTGCCACTGCTCTGCTGTCCAGATTCGATATTCCTTGGACCATTTCAAACGGTGCAATCTTTGCTTTTCTGAAACCAGTGGTTTCTTCCGTGCCTTACATCCTCTATGTCCAAAACTAAGTGGTCTTTTTCTCACAGTGGAAGTGCACTCGCTTACACCTGTAGATTCAGACCTCAGCTTCGTCAATTGGGTGGAATTAAGGCTTCTGCCTCCAGACTTGTTCTTCTTAACGCAGCGTCGTCCCGAACAGAAATTTTCTTTGCTCGGCCACTACGCGGTCTGTCGTCGATTTTTTCTTGTTCAGTATACTTCTTAGTGACTCTAATTACTATAGATTGATTACAGTTTACTGCGGATGCTATTTCCAGACTAGATTTGTCGTTTGTATGGTGAAAAATAATTTCAAAATGCTTTTCGTCCGATAATTTAGTTTGTTTGGTCTGGGATGAGATTTTGACCTTTTTATCAAAAATCAAAGAACAAATAAATGTGTTGGGTAACTACAGTGTTTATATAGTCAAAATATGTGGCAAATTTGTCATTAAAATCATATTAATGGTACTTTAACAGCTTATTTTAATACTTTCTGTAGAATTTTGAGCTAGTCATTAAAAAAATATTAGTAAGTATACTGATAATGCTAATTACAAGCACAAACTTAAAAAGAATTAGCGATAATAAACAAAAAACTTGTGTTAAACCTCAAAAACTGTAAGGCGCTTAGGTGATGAAGGACTTTTTAACACCACTGTAAGTAACAATAAAACACTGAAAACTTTGTTTTCAAACTTTCACAAAATTTATTTTAAATCTTATCACTACAGCCGTTTCGGCTGATTGCTTTTCTCAAGTGATCTATTTTTGGTTTGGGTTTACAAATTTATAGTCTCTAATGAAATAGGTTGAGGAGGGAAGAACTGTTTGTCTCAAGTTGTTCATTCAGAATTATATCTGTGTTTTTTAATTTGTTGATTTCCATAGATTCTAACAGAGATAGCTTAAGGCCTTTATTTTGAATGTGAAGAATTTTAAATTGGTCATTAAAACAATTATTATGATCTAGAAGGTGAAGTGCGTATGTCGAACTGTTTTTCTATTTTTGAAAGCCCTTTTATGTTCTGCTATTCGTTTACCAAAGTTTCTATCAGTTTGACAGATGTAAGTTTTAGAGCAGTCGCAACATTAAAGTTTGTACACACCAATATTTATGTGTTTGGCAATTTTTGTTGTTATTTTGCCTGTGTATGTAATCGAGCAGAAGGCATTGGGTTTTTTCTCTGATGGTGGAAATACTAATTTTAGGGCTTTCTTGTGTAGCTTTTGATTTAACATTTTATTAATTGTTTGTTCGTTGTATCCGTTGTTTACTGCTATTTGCTTAACTATATTTAATTCTGTCTCAAAGTTGTATTTTGACATAGGAATTTCTGTTGTCCATTGTAACCACAACAAGGACGTGAGCAGTTAGTGAAAAGCAGAGTCAGTGCTATACTGTGTAGGCACAACAAAAAGTGAGCGTTTCATGCCCAAAAAAACTAGAATGGACCAGGTGACAGATAAAAAAAGGTCTCAGATAAATACGGCATATAATCAAGCAAGATAAAGAAACATTTTAAACCGAAGAGTGCCAACGAAGAAACGAATAGGAGGAGAACCTAATTTCAGATAGCTGTCCAACTTAAAGAATGTCATAAAAATTTTTGGAGCTAAATGACAAAGAAGAGATGCCAGAGACCGGGAATGGAAAATTGTTTTACTTTTTGCAGTTGCTTATATTAAGCTGTAACGCCATTTTTGATGATAAGTGACTCACTAAATTGTCCATTAGTTTGTTGCATATTTGCAAGTATTTAGGAAATTAGAAAGCAATAGTTTTCAGTTATTTATTAAAACAATAATTTTTATTAACTACAGGTCTTCCTTAGGTACCGTCTCCTCTAATGAAGTTGGTAATCATCTCAGCTATTTTCACTTTTGAGATTGCAGCTCTGAACAAGTCGATGTAACTGCAATTATACGACTTAACAATCTGAGGAATCTGAGCCAGGCGATGCGTCTTCTTCCAATACTTCGTTTTCCCTGTATTTTTCCCTGCATTATGGTTTGTAGCAACACATATTTATCCCCTCTCATAACGTGGCCGAGATATTGTAACTTTCTTATCTTAATCGTATTCATGATTTCCATTTCCTTTGTCATCTTTCTGAGGACGTCAACATGTGTTATTCGGTCTACCCACCATATTTTTAATATTTTTCGGTAGGTCCACCTCTCGAATGCTTCAAGTCGATCACCTTTTTCTTTAAGGTCCAGGCCTACACCCCATACAGCAGCGCCGAAAACACATATGAACATAAATTCAGGTGGACATATTTAATTGTGAGTAATTTAGATTTTGTATTATATAAGTCCTATATTTATCTTTTATAAAGTATTTATTTTAAATAATAAAAACATATTTTTTAATAAGTATCGTTTTAAAACCATAAAACTTTTAAAGTATTCCGAAGATAATAAATAGTGTATCTTTCAAGAAAACTTGGAATAGTTGTTTAAATTTGCTATTTTCAGCGATCGAATGATCTCCAATAACATCTTAATTTCTATTTCTAAAATTGCAGTAAAGTTTATACTTGTTTCTAATTGTATGAAATAGTATTTAGTCTAGAAAACGTCTGATAACGATGAGACTGCTTGAAAAAAAAAATGAAAATGAAATTCATCAAATATTTAGAAATCTTTATAAATAGCGGCATAAACTGTTTGGAAAAGAAATTAAAATCATGGAGTTTGATATACCCTATATTCCATATCTCTATTTCGTTTTTTTAAGCGTATGTATTTGTCTGGTAGGAAGGCACAAGAGCCCTCATGTCTTGGCGTATTGCTCAACTATAAATTGATCCGATATACCAGCCTATTATTAGAGAACTAACGAACACAGCCTAAGTAGCAGATCTATTCTAGAATTTTAAAATAATTATGTTATTTTACCTGACCAAGGTTTGAAGCATCGATCCACTAGATTGGACCCTTAGCCAAATACTCGGCATCGCTTGCTATGTATAATAACCGTTAGGTCCTTCGGCACTCACTGTAATACCGTAATAAGCCGTTTAAATAAGTAATTAAATATTGCCTTTTGAGGGTTGTTTCCTCACATTGCTGTTGTCCGTGGCTTTTGATTGCAGATGTAGAATATGATTTCTCAAAGACAAACAGTATATTTGAATCTTTTATTTTCCATTAGACAGTCTGGCCGATATATCTAAGATATTGTTTATTTCCCACCACCCTAACAGTTTCTTTAAATATAGACTACCCACCAATCTAACGGTAAATTGTAATTCAAAGTTCTTTCTATAAATAGGTCATATATAGCTTTTCTTTTTCCGTTGGAGTTTGAGTTGAACAGATCTCCACCTTTGTTGGCTGAATTACTCAATTACATTTGGTAAGTTAATATGAATTAATTTTTCAATACGTCCTTTTTATTTTTCTTGCATTCTTTGCTTAAACTTTTACTTTATTTATTCTTCGTCTCTCCGTCGAATTTCATTGTTACTGTATT